CGAATTAAAATAAAGTTAAGTAATTCTTTTAAAAAATAAAAATGCTCTTCTGAACAGTACACAAAACTTTTGAGGTTTAATGGTAATGCGTGTGCTGTTTGTAATGGACAGAAGTTGACTTTTTAAATGTTTGGCACTCTGCTTTCTTTTGTGCTGGGTATGTGCTGAGGTTTGTTACACAGTTTGGATATAAGTGACCTTAAAGCCTCTAGGCCTTTGATGTTTTTGTCCTCCAAGTATAATACTGCTAAGTGTCGTTTACCTTCGGAGAATTAGCTTAATTACAACACTTAACCGTGTCCCTGTGCTTTCTGTGCACTCAACAGCTTCCCACATATAGGCATATACCCAGAGGCTTTTTTTTTTTAGACAACCACTCAGTGTCCCTCCTCCTCTTTGGAGTCTTTTCCACTCATTTGCACTCATTGGGTGCAAATAAACTCTTTGCAGGTGGTCTGAAACACCTGGCAGTCTTCACTATTTGGAGGGCATGCTTGCCTTTGAGCAGGGGGAGGGGGCAGTGGCAGAAAGTGGTGTTTTTTGTTTTTTTTTTTTTGGAAAGGTTTTCACTATAGGGCGGAGCACTCACCAGACAGAGAGGCAGAAAGTGAGAAATCACCCCCCAGGGGGGATGGTCATGCCACAATCCCTTCTCCTCCATTCTCCTCTCGGGATCTTGGGCACGCACGCACACGCGCCTGGCCTGAGTTTTAAGCCACGGGGTCCGGGACGGGAACCGCGGTCGACTACGTGGGAGTCCAGCGACATAGCCATTATGCTAACTGCTGGTTCCCAGAAAGTTGTCCTTTTACCTGAGACCAGGACTCCTTGTTTTTCCTAACTTAAATGAAGACTTTGATTATTTTCATCTCAGTTAATTGTTTACCTCCCTCTCGATGATTAGAGTTAGAGTAAGTCGCTGTTAAAGACTAAGAAAACTTCCCATTTATATTGGTGGTAGGGCTTTGCTGTAGCTGACTACAGGTACCAAATTTTTCAGTACTCACGTGGTTGGCCCATAATACTAGACAAACACATTAGGAGCCTTGTTATAGTTACCAGTTAGCTGTTGGAAAGCTCTAGATTCCAAGGCTTTTTTGCTGTTGTTTTGGGTTTTGCCTTAAAGTGAGCCATTGCTTGGCTTGGGAAGATGATGAAGAATTGTAATTTTAAGAATTCTGGGGGCCAGCAGGTGCTGTGGTGGCTAAGGGCGCTGGACTACCACCACATGGACTTCGGTTTGAGTCCTGGATCTGGTCACTTGCTTGCTTTCTCTCTGTCTCTCCCACTCTGGTCAAGTTAAAATAAATAAATGGATAAAGTTAAATAATTTCAAAAATTATTTTTAAAATTCTGAACTAAAATAAGTTGATTTACTGATTTTGTAGATTATTTTCATGTAGCAAGATGTGCGATCTTCCACGTACTAGACTGCTACGACTTGGTGAACACCCATTTTATCTCCAATTGCTGTGAATTCAACTAAATAACGTGTATTCTTTAGGGTGTATAATTACTTTGCTACCTTCTTCCCTCTGCTGTTGAGGTTCGAGTTTGGCTTCTCCGGGATAAGCACAGGTTAAGCAGCCCTGGCTTGGGCTGCGGGGTGGCGGTGGGAGAGGAGGTGCTTGGCCTGCGAGCAAGCCAACCCGCTAACCCTTGTGAAGTTAACCGTAATAAAGTCCGTAGTAAGCACACACACAGTGTTACATGTCTTTTATTGGTTTCACTCTGCGCAGCTTCAATTTCATCTTGAACAGGAAGGACGCGCTCGTGTCTTGGGTGAGATGGGTACATGGATTCGCCCCGACCGTTCACATTAACACATTTCTCATGCCCTCAGGTGGGCTCAAGTGTTCGGCCACTGAGCCCGGTCCCCACGGTGCTCCGCCGGGCCTTTGAGGCCAGCGCCCTCTTCCCCGAGGGGCGTTCCTGCAGCTCCTAGCAACGCCCGAAGCCGCCAACAGAGGCGAGGCCTGGGCCGGCCGAGCTAACCGCCGCGGCGGGGCACCCTGGGAAATGTAGTTCTCCCGGCGTGCCCTGCTCTTCGGCCCCGGCAGGTGAGCGGACTGCAAGTCCCAGGGCGCCTTGCGCCCGCCTTTCGTGGGGAGGCCGAGACGGAGGTGGGCCCCGGCGGCGGGAGGCCTGACCGCGCTGGGCGCAGGGAGTGGAGCCGGCCCGGCCGCTCCTCCGACGGGAATAGCGCCTAGCAGGGATTTTTAAGGGGCCGAGAGGATTCCCGGCTGCACGTGGGCTCGAGACTGGACGTGCGCGCAGGTCTCGGGCCGGGGGGCGTGACTGGGGAGGGGCGGTGCTTAGAGGCGGGTTCTGGATTTTAAAATGCCGGGTGTGGGCTTGGCTGCGCAGGGGCGACGACGCGCGTTGCCCCGTGGCCTTTTGGTCTTTGCAAACCAGTCCTAGAAAACTCCCGCGGTCTGGGGTGCTGCGACAGGCCAGCAAGGGATGGCAGCTCCCTAACGCGAGGAGACGGCACGCGCTCGGGCTCGCAGCCGCGCAGCTGCATCGCAGGGGCACGGAGATGCGCGCACTCGGAGCGTCCGGCCGGGGCTGCAGACCGACAGGGAAACACAAGGGCCCCGCTGACTCCAGGGCAGCTGAAGCGGGTTTCCAGTAAGTGGAGGGTGGAGAGGGAGGAAAACTGCTCTCCGTGGGGCGAGTCCGATCCCCAGCTGGTGTGAAGGGGAAGCCTCTCACGGTCACTGAGAACCACGTCAAGTGGTCCTCAGAGCTCGCACTCGCTGCGTGTGCTGAAGGCTACCTGGAAGGTAGCCCTGGATGTTATCTGGGAAGGGGTTCGGCCTTGCTGCCAGGCACCACCCCCTTTATAAAGGGGGACCTCCCACTTCCTGCATCCTGCACTTTGAAGACGTAAGGGAGAAGCCCTGGCGCGCCCATTACGTTATCCAGAAAGTTGCATTTGGCTGCATCTCTCCAAGTACAAGGAGGTTTTAACTTCCGGAAGTAGGTGTAGACGTCTGGAGTCCGTAGAGAAGTGCCCCAGTAATCTGTAGACTCAGGAACTGTTAAAGATACATCATGTTTAAGCAGCCGCTTTAACTTTTTGCCTCAGGACGGGCCTGATGGGCAGAATTGTAATGAGTTGGACAGTACTGTGAAGGAGCCGTGAAGACCCCCAGGCTCGCCATGGTAGGTGGAATGGAGGGACCCTGAGCACTGAGCTCACTCCCCCCTCACCCAGGACGGGCCTGGCCGCTGGGGATACCTGGGACCCGGGAGGCAGGGACTGGGGTGGTCCCTGGAGAAGAGCCACGGATGGTAGCACTGACTACAGACTTCAGCAGCCGGCAAGGTTTCTGCTGAGCCTCTGTCCAGCTGGAAGTGTTTTTAAGTGTCTGTCACTGGACGGGGTAGTCAGGGACGTGGAGCAGCAAGCATTTCCAGTCACATTACAGCCTGGCTGGAGGGTCTGTGTGGAAATCGGGGAAAAGCAGAGACTGCCCGCCTCTCTTGGCACCCACTGCTGGTTAGTAGGGCCGTTCCCGTGCTCCGAGTAAGTCCATTCTCAGAGTCTGTAGGGGGAATCAAGGACTCTTCTGTCTCTAAATGCCATCGGGGCCCTTGTCTGGAGAGTTGGCAAAAGTCAAAACCATTCCTTGTACGTTTCCAGCTTTGACATGTGTTCACTGTTGGCTTTTGTTCATGTGATTTGTCTTTCCAATTTTAGGCACCAAAAACCAAGAAGGGATTGAAAGGTGAGTGGAGAGACGGACCGTCAGCCTTAAGCCACGGGCGTCCCCCTCCCAGGTCCAGAAATGATTTAGACTTGGCTGCGTGTAAGTGTTGGTGAGAGTCGTGCTGCTTTCCCAAACTCCCATAGGCCGACTTGGTCTTCCCAGGGTCTCCTTAGGCTGCCTTATTGGCCACAGATAAATTCAGGAAGTCGGGGCTCTGGAAAAGATCCTTACTGCTCTCTGCATACAGGAGTGCATGGCTGGGGCTAAGGGTGACGGTGCTTAACCTGGATGGGGCAGCTAATTCAGTATTCACACTTAGATTTTCCCTAAGGCGGTGCCTCGCCTCTGTCAGAAAGCGGCCAAGGAGGGGTGCATCCAGATCATTTCTGGGGGTCTCGAATGAGAGAGGGCACGAAGGCTGTTGGTATGAAATGAGCGTGTGTCTAGAAATCTTGTGGACACTTTTCCCAAAGAACCACACTATGCTTCATTCAGAGTCAGGAAGGCTGTTGGCTCACGGGACCTGGGAAGGCAGGGAGAACGTAGGTTCCACTGAAAATCTATACTCTCATCCTTTCAGAAAGTTACTTTTGATTTCTGTCTGGAGTGTTTCAACAAGGCATTGAGACTTTAGCCAGCGAGTTAAAAAACCTCTCATTGCTGGGACCAGCAGTTGGTGTAATGGCTATGCTGCTGAACTCCCACGTAGTCGACCGCGGTTTGAGTCTGGACCCGGTGGCTTAAACTCACACAGGGCACGTGTGCGTGTGTGCCCAAGATCCCGAGAGGAGAATGGAGGAGAAGGGATTGCGGACTGGCCATCCCCCCTGGGGGGTGATTTCTCGCTTTCTGTCTCTCTGGCGAGTGCACGTGCCCTATAGCAAAAACCTCTCCAAAAAAAAAAAGAAATTCTCATTGCAGTGAAGAAGCTAAGTAAGCCCAGGTCCCAGCATCTGAGAGCTCCTAGGCCCTGGAGTGAGACTCGAGGCTGGAGGTTTGTAAAGGCCCCTCATCTTTTCTCCTGAAGGTGTGACAGCCCCTTTTCCATTCCAGGCTCCATTGATGATGTCCTTGGCGACCTCCTGGGGGACGACAGTAAGTGTCCGGTCCCCAGAATCCTGTGTGGACATGTTTTTGTTAATCGAGATAAACTCGAATACCATAAAGTTCAGTCTCTCTCGTTTTTCAGTTTTTGCTATAGGTACATGCGCTTGCTGGAGAGAGAAAGGGAGAAATCACCCCGGGGCAGGGGGCGACGCGTCTCCACTCTCCTCTCAAGATCTTGGGCAGCGTGCACATGCGCCTGGCATGATCTGCAAGCTGCCAGGTCCAGAACTCCAACCGTGCAGTCGGTCATGTGGAGTCCAGCACCTTAACCCTCCACACCACCTGCTGGCCCAAAGCTCAGTATTTTAAAGTGCACAATTCAGTGGCTTTTAGACTATTCACAAAGTTGTAAAGTCACTACCACTAATTCTAGAACATTCTCATGCCCCCTAAAGAAATTTCGTATGCCAGTCAGTTGTGTAGCCTAGGGGTTAAGGGAGCTAGAGCCCACATGGCTGTCTACAGTTTGAATCCTGGCTCTGGTGGTTTGAAAAACATGCCAGGTGTATACGCATGCATTTCCCAAATCCCAGCAGGATAGAGAAATGGGGGGAGAAGGGACTGCAGCATCATCACCCTCCACTGGGGGGCGCTTTCTCCCTCTCGGTGTCTCTGGAGAGCACACCTGCCCTCTGCTAAATTAGAAGAGTGTGTATGTGTTGTGGTAGTGGCCCTACCTCGTGTGTCCCCCTTGTTGAAGGAAAGGAAAGCTGAGCAGGGCTGCAAGGCTTAGGTCCCCCACCCGGCCCAGGAGCACCCACATGGCACCCTAGGTGGGAACACACCTGTGTTTTGGGATGTGGAAGGCATTGTTGCTTTCATGTTCCCATAGAGGGGTGATGGCGAGTTCCTTTTTTATTTTTGAGAGGTTTTTGCCTTAGGGTGTGTGTGCTCACTGGAGAGAGACAGACAGTGAGAAGGAAAGTGAGAAAGCATCCCCCAGGGGGATGTCTACACCGCAGTCCCTTCTCCGATTCTCCTGGTATGCACACACGTGTGCCCGGGGTGATTTTGAAACCATCATGTCCAGGACTTGAACTGTGGTCGGCCACCTGGGAATCTAGAGACATAACTACCATGCCATCTGCTGGTCCCTGGGTTCCCTTATTTGGCACTCAAAATTTAGGGTTGACTGCCTCTTGGAAATGACCCACTCCTTCCCCCATTCAGGCCCAGCGGATAAACTGGGCCCTGGCCCTGTGGAGCCAGTTTCCTTCCTCCAGATAGCCCTTCTTCCTGGCATCTGTGAGGTCGGGGACTCCCTGGCCATCCTTTCACTGTGACCCCACTTCTCTTCTTGCTATTAAGATCTTCTTTTGTTTCCAGCGACTCTACCCGAGAAACCCGTTAAAGCAGCTTTACGTGCCAGAGACGCCGCAGACGCACCTCAGGGGCTCCCCTCGCCCGAGACTAGAACAAAGTAAGCCTAGGCTTGGCGTGGTGTCCTCGACCCGCCGTGGTCCTCGTGCTCTCTGGCCGCACCAGCTGCTCAGCAGGTGCTGAGCGCGACCGAGGGCAGTTTCCATCGCCTGTGCCCAGCTCTCGGTTATTTTTGTTTTTGCCATAGGGCGCGTGCACTCACTGGAGAGAGAGCAGAGAAGGGGAAAGTAAAAATCAGCCCCCCTCCAGGGTGGGGGGGATGACCATGCTGCAATCCCTTATCTTCCAGTCTCCTTAGGATTTGGGGCACGTGTGCATGTGTGTCTGGCATGATCTTCAAGCCTCTAGGTCTGGGGCTTGAACCGCAGTTGACGCTGGGAGTCCAGCTCCTTAGCCACTATTACCTGCCGGCCCCCAGCTTCTGGTTCTTAAAGGAACCAGGGGAGTGGGCTGAGACCTAAACCGGGGGCTGCAGGCCTGGCTGCTCATTCTGCCTCTGCTGTTCACTGTGCGACCAAGGCTTCATGAACCTCTAAGCCTCAGTTTCCTTATCTTCTAAGTGAGATCAACCTGGACTAGTGCTTTTCAAATCCTGTGTGTTCTTCCGGTTCTGGCAGATGGGGGAGGAGGAAGGAGCCCTGGGAGCCCACCAGCCTCCACCTTCGTCTTGGCGGGGGCAGTTCTGGTCTCCCTCACTGCTTTTCAGAAGTTAGAAGTTGCTGCATTTGGTTGCCTGTGAAGTTCCTTTCAGCAGCTCTGGGGACTGGCAGTTGGTGTAATGGCTATGTGGCTGGACTCCCATGTAGTCGACCGCAGTTCGAGTCCTAGACCCAGTGGCTTAAACGCACGCCGAGCACATGTGTGTGCGTGGCTAAGATCCCAAGAGGGGAATGGAGGAGAAGGGATTGTGGCATGGCCATCTCCCCTCGGGGGTGATTTCTTGCTTTCTATCTCTCTGTCTCTCTCTCTCTTCTGGGGAGTGCACTCACTCTATATAGCAAAAACCTCTCCCAAAACAAAACAAAAGCAACTGTTCACTCAAAGAAATCTATCCAACTTCGCTTGGACTCTCTAAGGCCCTTTTACTTCTTTTTTTAAAAAAGAATTATTTAATTTTACTCATCATCATTATTTTTTTTAATTTGGCCAGACAGAGAGGGAAAGTGAGAAAGCAAGCTGCCAGGTCCAGGACTCGAACCATGGTCAGCCATGTGGGAGTCCAGCACCCTTAGCTACCATGCCACCTGCTGGCCCCCGCTTTTCCTTCTTTAGAGACACCTAGTGCCCTAGGGACGTGTGTGGGTGCTGATCCCACCCCTTCACAGGTCCCTCCTGGAAGATGATGTCTTCAGGACAGGCCTGGCGGGAGCTGACGCCGAGGTGAGCCTTGTCCTTCCCCACCTCTGCCTCTCTCCCTGTCCCCAAGAGCAGTGAGACTGGTGTTGAACCAGGGGGTTGCTCCCAGAGCAGTTAGAAGACCCTGCAGAGTTCATTCATTCTTAGACCCCACACATCCCGCTCCATCCCCCCAGGAGGTGAGCTGGCGTTGAGCACCCAGCCATGTCCTGTGTCACACTCCAGACTGCCACTGCGTGTGTGGCAAGTAGCACAAGCAGGCTGCTGGAGTGGAAGTGGCCTTTCCAATGGGGAGGACAGAAAGGGGCAGCGCTTTCCGGGTCTCCACAGCAGGGCAGCTTTGATCCCAGGCCCCAGGCAGCAGGACAGCCGGCTCTGCGTCTGCTGACCCGTCTGCCCTG